CCCCCCTTCACTGGTTCACGCAGGCGAGGCTGTCTGTGCAGAAACCTTACCTTAACACGTTCCAGCTTTTCAGAGGGTCCAGGTCTGAAATTATAGAAACCATGGTCGACYGGCAGGGCTGGGGGGGAGCAGCACACGGGGAGAGGGTGGGAGGGCGCAGCGGAACAAAAGATCGAACGGGGGGGAGAAAAAAAAGTGGCACAAAGGCTGTAAACTCCGTCTGCGATTGACAACAGCTTTCGACTCGGATGTAAGCTCGTCCTGGTTGTTCAGCGGCTGATGAGGCGCTGTCACAGCTCTTCCTCCTCTCCTTCTCCCCCACCCTCTCTCTCTTCAGCGGCTGATGAGGCGCTGTCACAGCTCTTCCTCCTCTCCTTCTCCCCCACCCTCTCTCTCTCTCAATCTCTCTCTCTCTCCCTCTCTCACTCCTGCGCGCGCTCTCTCCGCCCCCTGCTCCACCAAGCCTGCGCTCAGCAGAAGAGTCTCCGAGCTTCCTCCGCTCCGTCTGTCAGAAGCAGGCGGCTGAACGGGCAGCAGGACGCGTCGTTTGCCGGCTTTCTGAACGGCAAACGTGACCTTTGCTTTTACTTTCATCGCTACATGAGTGTGCAATTTAAACATCCACTTTACTGGGTTCTTTTGACTCAATTTAAAATCATTTGAAACTGATATGTTTTATGTAAATTATTAATAACACTAAAAAAAGTTGACTGAGTGCATGATTCTTTAACTGAGTTATATCAACTAGTTCTAACACACAGGTGGTAAAAGGAGGATATCTGGATAAAGCTAATTTACAAATTTTAAAAGTAAGCAATTGTAAATTAGCTTAATCCAAATACCCTCATCTATCAAAACTTGTATTTGAAGTTGGGTGGAGGGAATAGTTCTCAATCCCACCATGGAGGAAGATTGGTGGGGGGGTGTCTGTCCATAGGTGAACAGCTTGAAGGTAAAATCTTTGTTATAGCARGGCGGGGTGGACAAGATCCACATTGATACCCTATTGAAGACCCACTGTAAAAACTGTCAGCGCAAAAAACATTTGCGTTGGATTTACTTAAATAATTTAWGTCAAYAGGTTCTGCTCAACTGAMTTGAGTAAATGTAACATATTTTTTAAGTTTATTTATAGRTGAATGTGAAGAAAATGTATTATATTTACTCAATTTCATTGAGTTAAACCTGTTACAAAATTCATTTAAGTAAATCCAACGTCAAGCTGCTGCCCCCATGACTTGACTGCGCAACCAGTGACAAATAATAAATTAGTAAATAAAGTAAGTAAAAAAATAATATTGTCAAGGACTCCAGTGCAACTACTGTATACAGCTATTTCAAAAAAAGAAAAGAAAAACAATAGAAACTCAGTGTCTGTGGAAAATTCACTAAAATATGGCCATTTTTGTGCAGCCCAAGTTTTAATTAGTTGTGGTGGCCATCTTGTAGTGTTGACTCCATAAGTTAATCAGTTGCCAATGTGTTTCCATTAATGACTTTGTGGAAGTTTCTTAAAATCCATTCACTGAGATATTCTGCTAGTGGTACTGACAAGCAAACATGCAAAGCAGACATGTTAATATACGATAAAGGTTTAGTTATAGTGCATCATATCACAAAAAAACAGAGGAAAAATAGTCTGATTAACAATCTAGTTATTTTTTTGTTATATTAAAAAACAACACTAAAATAAACATGAACTTAATGTGCTATAATGAACGAACTGGGCATTAAAAGAACTATGTGGCCTGTAAAAGCAGGCACTGCGAGACAAAGCAAAATAAACTGCCAACATCAGCTCAAGATTTTAAAATCTGTACCGTATGATGATGGCGCCATGCCTTTTAGGCAACATAATTTATGTTCTAATATGAGCAGAATGAATGATTATCACCTACTGCCAAAAACTGACAGTAGGCGATCATGTTTTGGCCTTCGTGTGTGCGTTACCAACATTTCTCTTTATTTACTGAATAAACTGTATTAAGACTGATTAATCCAACTCAAAACAGGTGCTACAAATAATCAAAGTAAGAAAACAAGAAAAATGGCTAGYTACAATTTGATATGGTAGTAAAATGAAATCATAATATTGCATAAAGCTGTTTTAAAAGTTTGACCAAAGCAGCAAAATTTTTATTTCTTAAGACGATTTAAAACGTGTATGAATGGTGGCAGATGATATGCATTCCTTCAAGAAAACCTTAGGCTTTTATATATTAGTTTGACCATTATTTTTAAAGTTTAAAGAGGACATATGTTTTTGTTGTGCCTCAAAACGAGTTGGTCTGAGACACAGCTCAGACAAGGGGTGAAAGAGGGGCTTGTGGAGTTACAATAAGGATGAACTCAGACCAAAGCATTGCAATTCCACTTTATATAGAGCCCAACTGAGTGAATTAAATGGTAAAAAGAAAGATTTCAAAGCATATGTCAACTTTAAGATCTTTTGACAAACTTGTTTTAGTTTGTTTAGCTAACTAAAACCCCAAATAGTTTTTTACAGTGTAAAGACCAAAAAAGAGCCTATTATCTCTAGATTTACATATCTGATCAATAATGTGTTTTAAATATTTCCTTGCAGTAACTTTGTTATTTTATATAAATCTAAATGATTAAACTAACTAGAAATATCACGGTTCTACTTTATATTTATCTTGTTCAGATGTGTTTTTAATGCGCATTGCTCTGTGAAACGTTTAAGTCTTCGTCACAAACTCTGCAGAACATCTCTGCAATCCTCCCACCATCAGGGCTGACTTCCTGTCTGACACCACCACATCCTGTTGATAAC